TTTAAACCCGAGCTTTTTTGAGTGGGGCCTCCGAGTCGTGCCTCCACGCAAGATTTTTAAGTCCTGCCCCCACCCTCTGTTTTGAGGTGGGGAAAGTGACACACAGGATTCCTATTTCCCAGCTAGTGCGGCATAAAAGCATACTAAAAGCCAGTGACTGTAGCATTAAACAGTAACAATTAATGACATCTGTTGAACATTCATAAATGTCAAGTCGTTTTTGGTAAATACACTCTTTAACCTCACCAACTACAGTCTCCTGGAACCAGAGCTGTCATCGGGAAGCTGTTTCCCTCTGGGGTCTGTAATTGATTGAACACATACTCTGAGGCGCTGTGTGACTTGAATTATGTATGTGGTGTTAGTCTACTGCGAGTGTGTTGATAAGCCCTAAAATATTACATGTGATTAAATAATGATACCATTATCTAAAGATGATGATATCATGGAGGTACTGATATAGGGATGGCCAGTGCCATAGAGGTAATCAGTGGCAAATTGGGTTCTTGAATTGATACCTTAATGGAGAGCCCCAGAGACGGTTCAAAAACAGCCTAGAGATTGGCTTGAATGCCCCTGACATAACCTTGGGAAAGGGTACAACATAGCCTCAGGGAACATCCTGGGAGGGGTGCTCTTTCTGGTCTCACTTGATTTCTGCCATCATAGGAGACAAAGGTGGAGCTGTTATGGGGTCATTTCCTGCCTGAGGAACCCAGGAACTGCAAAATAAATTTGGTAGCTCATGTTTTTTGTTTTTTTGTTTTGTTTTGTTTTGTTTTGTTTCTTTTTCAGCTCTGCCTTCTTGATCCTCCACCCTTCTTGGAGACAACTAGCAAAAGGAAGAGAGACTAGGTCCAAATACCAGGTGGCTGGGTCCAGGTGAGTTGAGCTTCCTCTTCACAGGCATACCTATCCTTGAACTGACCACTGTCCTTTCTCACCCTGACAATGTTGTGCTGCACACAGTTCCACATAGCTACTGGAGCACTGTCTGTGCCTTCTGAGAACACACAAACTCTCCTGGTAGGTTGAGTATTCACCAGAAATTTTCCTCGTTGGCCTCACACCATCCTTTTTGGTGTCCTTCCTCTTTTTTCAAAACTCATCTACTGCCTCAAGCCCACTCCTTCTCTCTTGTTTGGTGACTAAAGAAGCATGAGTGATTCATTGACTTATCTGCCATTGTTGATGGAGTATATACTTTGTGCCAGGTACTAGGAACATGACTCCAGTAGGAAAAGAAATGTTTTCATGGAGTTTATAGTCTTTTGGGGAACTCAAGATGTGGAAAACATAATTGTGTGATTTGTGCCTTTGCACGAGAACATTCACTGGGGACAGCTGACTTAATGTGGGAGAGGCCACATAGGGCCTCCCTGAGATAGTTGGGCATGTTAAAGCTGAGCCCTGAAAGACTGTGAATGGTGTGTGTCATGGGGGAGTAGTCCTAGCAGAGGGGACAGGGATGTTCCTGAGGGATGCAGAGAGAGGAGCCAAAAATCCAGGATGCCTAGAGCAAGGGAATAGTTGAAATGCATCTGACTGAGGTGGGAAAGAGGTGAGCTGGGACTTCATAGTGAAATGCCTTCAATTGGTGGTAAGTATTTGGGCTTGACCTGAAAGTGCATTGGGAGGCCATTGTAGTGTTTTAACTGTGGGAGTAACATGATAGTCATGTTTTTCATCATGGTTTTGAAAAGATCATCTGGTTATAGGATGCAGAAAAGGAGGGTGGACATAGTGAGTGCAAAGAAACCACCTCGGGTCTGGGTGGGAGATGGTGGCTTGGCTGTGGTCACATCATGAGGGGGGAATGAAGAAGGTGGATTTGAGAGGTGCTAAGAAGGAAGACTCTGCAGGTCTTACTCTGTGTTCATGGCTCACTGGCTGATTCAGAGTAGGCACAGTAGATCATGATGAGAGGAAGTGAGTAAATAGCCAGGGGTTGCCCATTTGCTCGTTCTGTTAGAAAGTGTTGGTCTTGGCCCTGATCCAGGAAAGGGTCATGCCAGACTGGGGTCTCCAGAGGTGAGTGATGCCATCCCAGGCCTCAGAGTGTACTGAATGAGAATTCTCATTACAAGGAGAGTAAGGAAACATGCTTACCATGATAGGTACCTATGCTGGTGGTAGAATACTGCCTGGGGAGAGGCTGGCATGCCCAAGTGGGTCCCTGGAGATGGGTTGGTGTATTCCTGGCCTCTGAATACTCAGAGTGTCCAGTATGGTACTCGAGACTTAGAAACCTTCCTTCACCTCAGGACTCACAGTGGTAAATCCACACCTAATGAAGTTCAGGAGACTTAAAACCTTACTGATAATGACTTGAGATAGGATGTTTCCATTCCCTCTATTTTGGTTCATTAATTCATGGTAGGAGACCACCGTAGTGGGGACCCAGGTGCTCAACACTGCATATGATCATCAGATTCTCTCCCTGTGGGCAGTCCTACATGGGGAGCAGAACCATGGTGAGAAGGTTGCTTGGTGAGTATGGAATCAGAACCAAGAGGACGTGGGTGAGCTTTAATGGCACCACCTGTAATGTGGCTTGTGCAGCCTTCAGGTCACAGCGCAGACTTTGCTATGGTTACAGGGTACTGGAAGCCCCTTATCTACCCTCCCCCGTACCCTTCCCAAACTCCATTCAAGTTAGGTCTGATTTGAGTAGCTCTTGCTCCTGCAGATGGTTGAATGAACTATGTTTGGTGGCCTGCTTTTTCATGCCCCCTCCCCTTAAAAATAAGATAAGCCAGTTGTTATCAGAATATGGTCAAATAAGTCATACTAGTTTGGAAGACATTTTTTTTCTCTTTAAAGTAATTCGTCTTGAGCCATTTTTGTGCTGTCCTTAAAACTGAACACCTAGATAACATTTCCTCTCTCTGTAAACTTTTGGGGAAATCCCTCAAGAATGGACAACAACAAGGAGATTTTGCTGCAGTGTGGTAAGTGCTAAGCAGATGTGATAGAAGTAAGATATGATAGAAGTAAGTAAGTAATGCTGAGATTGAGGAGCCCAATAGAACAGAGGGTGGAGGTCGTGGCCTGCATGATAGTGTTGGCAGTCATATAGTCCTGGCTTATATTCCCATATAAAATTGCCCCCCCCCCCCAGCTCCTGCTGTCCCATGTGTACCTTGTTCATAGTTGATTGGACCAGACTGGATACCTAAGCCCTAGTGTAGGCGTCCTCAAACTACGGCCCACAGGCCACATGCAGGCTGCCTAGCACATTTATCCGGCCCTCCAGGTGTTTTTGCCGCCGCTGCCTGTCCTGCTTAGCAGCCGACTCATCCGGGGCCCACAGTGTGCACTCTCTAACGGTCTGAGGGACAGTGAACTGGCCCCCTGTTTAAAAAGTTTGAGGACCCCTGCCCTAGAGCATTGGTTCTTAAAGTATAGCTCTTGAAGTCGCATGCACTTTCAAACAGAGAGTTTGGACAAAGGGGTACAGACTGATAATGGTGAGTCTGTCAGGGTTGGGCACTTAAACTGGGAGGTGAGGTAGGCCTGGGGCTGGGACTGCATCTTCCTCCTTGTGCATGCTGAAGTAGAGAATGTCGGTCTGCAGAGAGAGGCAGGAGAATGGAGCAAACAAGAAGAGAGAAGAAACCGCACACCACACTGTCCCTGAGAGATGAAGAAAGTAACCTCCTCGGTTCCTGACTTTAAAGTTCTCAATTCCAGCCCCCTTTTAATGAGGTAGGTAGAACAAATTAGGGGGCTGAATCTAGGTGCATCATGATGAGGAACCAAAGTAAGTAAGTAGAAATGGGGCTGAAGGAAATATGGTGGAGTTTCTTTTGTGTCTGATGGGGTGTGAGAGCCTGAGATCAAACAGTGGGGTCACAGGATTTCCTTCCTTCTTCTTGCATGTGGTCCCAGACACATTCCAGCATCTGATGCTGTTCTTTAATTGAGTTCTTTCCTGTTCAGTTCAACACTGACCCATGGTTTCTCTAATTGAGGCCAAAGATCTCCCCCAATTGTGGTGAGGAGCTGCAAGTATTTCATCTTTGTTATGTATTATATTAACTGTGAAACCCCTGCTTTATTTTCTACTCATCTTATGGAATGGGAGTGAAGTGTCATAAAATATCCAAAGAATTGCATCAACACCACCGCACAGACCTCAGTGGCAACACTGTCATGCAGCTGGCAGTGCCACTGTCCTGTGGTTCCAGAAGTTCCAGGTCATGGATGAAACTTACTCTGTATACTTAGATGTTTCATGCTTATAAGATGCCTAGTGTATTTAAGAACAGATTCTTTGAAGGTTGAAGACCAGCCAGACACTTGTAAGTACCCTGTCTGCCCAGCCACGTAGAAGGGTCCTGCATTACTGGCCCCCACCACTTGGCTCCTCTCTTTCCCTCCCCTTGGAATTGGTGGCCTCACTTCCCCTGTCCCAGAGTCTGGCTGGCCCCATTGTCCCCCCCCCTTGCACTTGGCTACTACTCATGCTAAGATTCTTGTTCCAAAGAGAAAGCAGAGGGAGATGTGGAAGCTTTAATAATGAGGGGCATGTGGGTACCCAGCTTCAAGCCAGGAAATGAAGATGGGTTTGTTCTGAGGCAGAAATTTGGTCTTGAGATGTGAGACAGATGGAACAGCTACCAGGCTTCCCTGAAAATAAGACTTACCCATAAACTAAGCCCTAGCAGGATTTCTAAGCATTTGCGGAATAGAAGCCCCACCCCGAAAATAAACCCTAGTGATGGGCGTGGTTACGCAGCACATCTACACAACGCATGCTTTCGTCTCAGAGTGGTAAAGAAGATGAGCAGCCCTTCTCAGCTGCCCCATGAGAGCTCTGTGGCTCCACGTGAGAGATGGGGGCCAGTGGTTCTATAGGAAGTAGAGTGGCAAGAAATTCAGGATGGAATTCAGGGTTTGGAGAGTGATGGTGATATTCCAGAAGAAGACGCCTTCATTCTATTTGAATAAATGTAGATTGTTGTACCGTACTTAAAAAAAATAACACATCCCCTGAAAATAAGCCCTAGGGTGTCTCCTTGAGGAAAAATAAATATAAGACCCTGTCTTATTTTCGGAGAAACACGGTAGCTTTCAGTGAAGCGAGTGTTTGGGAGTGGAGCTAGATGCTGGGTAGTGAGCCCCCCATGTAGTGTACTCACTGGAGAGGGGTGCACAGATAGTGACTGAAGGATGGCCCAGGAGTGCTTAGGGAAGGTGAAGGGGATCAGAGATTGAACAGGGAGGCTGCATCAGGGGGCCCAAGCAGGGAAAGGTGAGGAGCTAATGAGCTGTAATAAGAATTTAGAAAAGAAAAGGAAACACTCTACAAAATGACAATTGAATTTACTTCCAAATTTTTATATTCAATTTTTTTCTGATTGTGAAATTAAAATAACATTCTAAGTAGGAATGGAAAAAGAAACAGAAGCATGTATTATTAATCACATTTTATGATAGATTTTTCCTTATATTATGAATAGTACTTATACAAGTTTATGTGCAAGTTCTCTTCCAGTTTAGTTTATATTGCTACTATACATTTAAGTAACTATATTGTTGTATTTTTTACTTAAGTGAAATCATTACATTCATCAAACATAGCAAACTCAAGCTTTTCATCTATAGCTTTGCATTCTGAAAATTGCATTATATTCCATTATGTGGATATTCTCATCACTTCCTATGCACACAGAAATTATGGCATCAGTACCACTACACAGACCCCAGTGGCAATTAATTTGCAAACATATGTATAGATTTTAAAAGGTTTAGTAATAACTGCAACAAACTTATCAGTCGATGTGGCTTGCAGTTTTTACATTGAATAGTTTGCAATACCTGAACATAGTATTAATGCTATCTTTTATATTTATAATAATCAGAAAATGTACAGAGTTTCTGAAAAACATAACTTAATGATTACTAACATTCTGTTAAAGATATTGTTTTCGTTCCTTGTTTATCGAAAACTGAGGAGGAATGCTGTTTGTTGAGTGCAGTGACTTATTTTAGTGAGAACGGAGTATGTTATAGCCCTGGTTGCCTTAGCCTTTCAGAGATGTGTAGTTGAAATATCTAATTTCTTGGGGGAGGCTCAACACCAGCAGTGGTTTTATTGGTCTTTCCTAATGTCAGATGCCAACTCTGGTCTTTGAAACGCGTGCTTGAGTAACTGGCCAGACACTGAAGTGTTGGCTGTCCCCTCTTGTCTGTTTTGTTAGAGTTACCCTTTACTATTTAGTCCTAAGAAAGTTCCTAGTTTATAGTAAAGTAGTTAATCCTTTTATGATTTAAAATCCTTCCTTTATTATAAACTAAGTCCCCATGCGTTTAGGTCATTTTACAGACAAATCACCTCCCATCCCCACCCACTTAGGCCTCATGTAGGGTGGTCTCGATATTCCTGTGCATTTATTCTTCCATAAGAACTGCATTATCAGTTTGTCTAAGCTCCTCAAAAAAAGCTTTGTTAGTGGTATACATACATCTTCATTTATTTGGGGCTTATTTTATGTCCTGTAAATTTTTAAAATTTTGTTTGTGGTTGCAGATACTTTGTTAAACTTATTTATGGGGATTTATTTATTTTACTATTATGGGGGTTTTTTTCTTGATGTATTTACTGCTGAGGTTTTTCAGTTCAAAATAGTCCTTTCTCCATATTTATACCTTTCTTTTTCTCCAACTGCATTAGCTAGGACTTCCAGGATAATGTTGCATGGTGTTTGTGGTGTCCCTTCCCTGTGTCCACCTCCAGAGGAACCTTTAGTGTTTAATAATATGCTTGCTTGCATTTCTGTGAGATAAGTCTTTATTATGCTTAAGTGGTCTCTTAGTCTTACTCTTTGCTGAGAATTTATAAGGAAAGGCTGTTGAAGTTTGCAAATACTTTTTAACATGTCACACTGCTCATGGGCTCCACCTCCCCCATTATCCATTGTAGGTAACGGTTTAGCTTCAGGGGACATCATCCTGTATTCCTTGAACAGCTTTTCATGGTCATGGGCTATCATTTAGACTTTGCTAGGTTGGGTTTATTAGATCTTTTTGCATTTGTACATCAAAGTTTATTGAATATCTTCTATGAAAATACAGTGATAAAAAAGGCAACAGAGCCCTTGCCCTCGAGCACCTTGCAGTAAGGCCCTCGAGCATCTTGCAGTAGGGTATGAGTGCAGTTGCTCTAATGTTCCGTTGGGTTCACACATCTGATTATTTGGGTACATTTTTACTGATGGCCTTCCTAGGCCGTCCATGGATAGACTTCCTCCTCAGCGTTAATGTTTTATTTGATAGTGTCAGGCAATCCTTTAGACTTTTCCTCCCATCAGCCATCTGCAAATGCATATATTCTGTTTTCTTTAGTGGTAGGCATGGCTGTTGCCATGGAGAAGCTGGCCTGGGGTAGTGGGGGCCAGGTGGGTAGAGCAGTTATGCTTTTGATTGGTCAGACTCGCTGTCACAGAAGGAGGTCACCTGGATCTGGTCTTCCCCAGTGAGGGTGAGATAAGTATGGGGCTCTGGCAGGTACTAATTCAGCATCCGGCCCCACTGCTGGTTGCCGTTTGGGCTGCAAATGGAGGACAGAGTGAGTGAGAGGTAAGGGTTGGGTCACTTGGAGGGCAGCTAACCTCATCACATAAGGCTCACCTGGTGTCAGGTAGCTGAGCGGAAGGATGTTGACCACTACTTCATGTTCCTGGCTTTGGCTGTGGGTTGCTCTGACATGACCTGTGTTAGACCATGGTTACAAAGCAACAACATACAACAGATCACATGCTTACCGCTCGCTAGTGATCATCTCTTCACATTGCTTCACGTGCAGAATGGTGTCACCTGCCATCATTATTCAGTGCTCAAGGTTTTACCTTTTACAAACTGGAAACTAGATGTATATATGCCAGGATTTAACCATAATGTATAGCTAGCTGACTTTTTAGCTTTTTTCTTCTTACTAATATTTTATCTACTTGGCTATCTTTGTCCTTAAATGGAAACTTGGTGGTTCAAAAGCCATAGGTGGTTTTTAATGTCTTTAAACATAGGCCAAAGTGGCATCCAGAAATGTAGCTCATGCCTGCACCAGCCGGCTTCTCCACACCCCCACCAGCATCGATTTTTATCTTTTGAACATTTGCTCATTTGGGAGAGTGGGCAAGGGCAATATACGTAACTGCAACATTTGTACCCCCACAATATGCTGGAAAAAATAAATAATAAAAAGAAAAATAAACGTATTAAGTAAAAACAAACAAAATTTGCTCATTTGACAGGTCAAAAAAGTGTTCATTGTAATATTTTATGTTTCTTTGATTTCTGATGTTAAGTACTGGCTTTTATGAGAGTAATATCATGAACTTTATTAATGTTCTTTATTTGCATATTGGACTATCTTTTTCTTAATACTAAGAGTTTCATACATTTGAAATATTAATTGTCATCTATGTTGCAAAATACTTTCCCCTTCCATTTCTGGTTTGTTTTTATTTATTTAGAGGTACCTTGTTATTTTCAAAGGTTTCATAATATCCATTATATGAATATACTGTATCTTGTTTATAATCAACAGCACTTCAAGGAATATATTCTTGTACATATGTCATTACATATCTCTGAGATAAATTCATAGAAGTAGAATTGATAGGATAGGTAATTGATACTTTTAATTTTGATAAAATTTATATTGCCACAAACAATATATGAATGTGCCTATTTCTTCACATACACACAGACATATATATTATTGTTGATCTTTATGATTATTCTGCTCCCAAAGCCATGTCTTCATTCTCAAGAGTTTTCTCTGCCATGGTGGAAAGGAGTAGCTAAAGTCTGATTTTTTTTTTTTTTTAAGGTTTGTCTGTTAAAAATCTTTCATTTCTCAATGCTCTTGTTGACCAAAGGCTGTTCTGGTTGGCCCGATAAGAAAATCTTGAGCATGTTAAACAAAGATTGTATTTGTTTAGTCCTGAATTTCTCAAAGAAGTATGATTTTTTTTTTTTGTACAGAAGATGGCGAAAACTTGTGATAAGGTACTTATAGACATTCAAGTGGTCACATTATTAATGAGTATATAAAGTGTTTCATATCTTTTCATATCTTTTCTGTGCTCTGGGAATGTTTTTTGTAACATAGTAAATACTTTCTTTGTTCATGGAAAGTTTATTTGGAAAGTTCCTCAAATTATTTCAACTTTTTAGTATCCTTCCCTGGTGGTCATATTTTCTCTGCTTCCCGAGTCAGGTTTGGCTATTTATATTTTCTTAAAAAATTTTTGATTTCCCATAAACTTATTAAGCCTTCAGTTCTGATATATAGTTTTCATCTAGTCATGCTTTATGCTTCACATATATGTCTGTCAGGGAGAGAAATTTACATAATATTGAAACATATATAAATTTTACATAAGAGAGTTATAGTTTTATGTCTTTCTCTCCTTACGCCTTAGCTTTGTTTTTCTTGTCATGTTGTAATAAGCTAGAACTCGATGGAATAATGTTGAACAATAGCAGCGTTGACTTCAATGAGTTTGGTCCACAGTGGGTTAGTACTATCTTTTTCTTGGGTTTTTTAGTTCTGCTTTCATAAAGACAGTGTGAAAGTTTCCTCCTCTTGGCATGGTTTACACAGCATGGGAATTGTCTGGGCTTTCCCCAAAGGTATGGAAGGCCTCACCTTAGCACTGTTTGAGTCCCCAGCTACTTGGGGAGTTAATTTTCTGACGCTTCTTTTACGTTTCTTCCTTGTTTCTTAGTTCACGTATTTCTTTCTTTAAAACTCTGCAGGTACCTGTGTTTTGACTCTGTTCGTGTGGAGATCTGCTTGGTCTGAAGTGCCAGGAAGGATCCTGTACCCAGACAGGTGATTACAGACCTGAGGGCATCTCGTTGCACAAGAATGGGGGCCAGTGTCACCTTGGATACCGGAACATTCTGAGCCTGGATGCTACAGAGTGGGATTGGGCCCTCTGCCCTTGCCTCTCTTCCTCACAGGCACAGGATTCTGATCTTGCCCCATCCTGGGTGGGAGTGACCCTGTCCTGGTGTCTGCAGTGTCACTCCAGTCATCTGGAGCCTGGACTCTGGCCTGTTGCCTTCCCTTGCTAGGATTCTTTTGCCCATCATAGTATCATCTGTATTGTCCTCTCTGTTGTGTCTCGGTCCTCCTAAAGGAGAGCAGGGAGGAAGTGGTCAGGTCGCCAAGGTCTTCAGGATCGAGGCATTTGTATTGGGTGGTACTGAAGCTCCATAGGAGGATGACAGCACAGGAGAGCGTGGGAGGGCGGTTTGCAACAAGGGAATCAGCAACGCATTACTGAAAAGAAAAACATGAGGTTACTGCATTTACTTCTAAGTGATAATATCTAGTCAGAGACTGTGAATAATTGAAATACCTTCAGCTTTCCATTAGACTGCTGTTAAATTTTAAAAAATCAGTTTTAAATTTGTTTTCTTTTTAAAACAAAGGCAGAGAATTTTTCCTCCATGTGGTTTTGTTCCTTGGAAGTAAAGCCAGAAATACAAAACCATTAGGTAGTTAAGTCACCCTCCCAAACTTAGATATCTTTCCCAGTTGCCCTCCTTTTTGCACCAGTTGTGCGGACCAGTAACAAAAAGACAACATAATAAAACTTTGTTGATTGCAAAAATGGTTTAAGTAAAAGGAAATGTGTAGCTTTACTCGGTTACATAAGAAAAAAAGAGAGATTGAAAATGAACATTTATGTCCAATCTAAAAAGTTAGAAAAGGGGAGGGGGTACATAATACAATAAAATAATGACAAAAATAAATTAACTAGGTAAAGAAACAATAGAGGACTATCAAAATAGGAGGCTGATTCTTCTGAGGCAGACTAGATCTTTGGCAGGAATGATCACGGCAAAAGAATGTGCCATAGCATTAGGAGGCTCAGTGGTCTCTCCCTCATGTTCTCACGTGTGAGTCGGGCCAGTTTATCAGCTGTGTAGGGTGTGGATGGGTTCATCTACCTTTAATTTCCCCAATGCACCAGGCACTGTTGTAGAGAGCTTCTGTACCCTACCAGTGCTTCCCATCCATGCCTGCCTGTGAGCACTGAGAAAGACTGGCAGAAAAATGACCAGGTGAGGGTGAATGGGCACCCTCAAAATATTCTTTTTGAAACAGTGGCATAGAGGTTACCCTAGGATGTTTCTCCTCTCCTCAGAAATTATGCTGCACTTTTGCAGGCATGTGTGAAGAATGCTTGTCTGCATCTAAAACCAGTTTTAAAATGGATTTTGATATGTCATCTTCAATATGGCACAGCAGTGTCGAGATCTGCCTTTGTGTAAGGCACCAGGGGATAAGTGATGGAGAAAGTTCATCTCTACTCCCTTTACAAAAGTCTACAGTTTAACCTCTGGGAGATAGGGCAATAAACCCAAATAAATATTCAGGAATAATTGTGATACATGCTTGAAATACTAGTGAGTGGAGTGAGTGTCAGGAAAGAAACCTGGTGAAGTGGTGTTAGCGTGAACCCTGAGGGCTGCATTTTAGAACTTGTGCGCCGAGGAGGGGGTCCTGAGCCTCCCTGCAAAACTGGTATCTAGTGGAACTTCCCATGGGGATGGGAGTGTCCTCGTTGTCTAGTGGATAGCTGCCCAGCACTGTGCCTAGGGAGCACTTGAAATGTGCTAGTCCAAATGAGGAACTGAATTTTTAATTTATGGAATTTTAATTGAAATAGCCAGGTATGGCCAGCAGCTGTATTATACAGCAGCACAGATGTAGAGAAATTAATCAGTGAAGAGAAAATGCAATCATTTGCAATCATATTGCCCAGAGTTGAATGCTCATAACATTTTTGAGTGGTCTTCCATTTTTTATGTGTTGTTTTCTGTGTTCCAGAAAACAACATTTCTTCTTAAGGGAAGAAATGCTTAGACGTGGCAAGACTTGCCACCACCTCTACTTTTCCATCTCCATTTTTGCTAAGAAAAAAATCGATACCTAATTTTAGTAGTGGCTGGGTTTTCAGTATTTTTCACATAACTTGCATTAGACAGGTGAGCCTTTTTAGGTATCTTAGCTTCTTATTTCTATTTTTCCAAAATGGTTATAGATACTATTCTTCTCATTTCACAGATTACAGAGACAGACTTCAGGGCATTAGATAAGTTGCCCATGATTACGTACCCAGTTAGTAGCAGAGCTAACTCCTAGGCATAGGTCTGTGCAAAGCCGGGGGGGTCATGTTTGTAACTGTTATACAGAGGCCAACTTTGTATAGTTGTGTATGTGTCTGTTTGATGGGGGACTTCCATATCCCAAAGCATTGTTGATGCCCCTGGTAGGGTAGCCCTGCACTACTGCCTGGTCCTCAACTTGTGGGGTGTGTATATCTCCTTACGATCTACAGGTCCCTGAGTACTGACTGTCACAGGCTGCTGCATCTTTCCTGTTGACTCATGTTTGGTTCCTCCAGTGAAAATTTCACTTAGAGAAATGCTGCCTCCAAAGCACTTGTCTGCCACCAAACCTAAGAAGTCCCGGGCCCCAAATCTGTATGAGCTAGACAATGACTTGCCTAAGGAGCCGGATGTCATCGTAGGAGAAGGCCCAACTGACTCTGAATTCTTTCATCAGAGGTTTCGGAACTTAATCTATGTGGAATTTGTTGGGCCTCGGAAGACCCTGATCAAACTCCGAAACCTCTGCCTCAATTGGTTGCAGCCGGAGACTCGCACCAAAGAGGAGATCATCGAGCTCTTGGTCTTTGAGCAGTTCCTGACCATCATCCCTGAAAAGCTCAAGCCTTGGGTGCGAGCAAAAAAGCCAGAGAACTGCGAGAAGCTCGTCAATCTGCTGGAGAATTACAAGGAAATGTACCAGCCAGAAGGTGAGACTCTTCAAAGGGTGACAGTGGTCAGCCAAGGGGGCAAATGTTCTCTGAGGTTCTCCACCTCGGCACTAGGGACAGACATTCTGGGCCGGGTCCTCCTCTGTCGGGCATTGGGGCACAGGGTCATCCTGTGCACTATAGGAAGTTGAGCCACGTCCATGGCCTTCTCCCACTGAATGTAACTGCCAAATATGTCTCCACACATGACCAAGTGTCCCCTGGTGGCTGAGAATCACCGAGTCACCGCCCTGAGTCAGGGACAGAAAGGAGACACTTCATGGAAGGAAGAAAACCTCTCATGACCTGCAGCCTTTTGGCACAGCACCCCAGGAAGGTGCCTGCTGGCTGTTCTTGTCTGGGTGTGTATAGGGGTGATCACAGCCGTGCTCTTCATCCGGCCTTTAAGTGGCAGGCATGGTGACAGGTTGTGAGTTGAGAAATGACAGGATCAGATCATTCCAGCTGCTTGTGTGTTTGAGGGGCGAGGCACAGTCAGGGACTGGGGGAAACTATTGTGAGGACACCGGGCAGCGGTGATAAAGTATTAAGATGGTGTCTGGTGTCCCTCAGACGACACCAACAGTGACGTGACCAGTGACGAGGACACGAACCCAGATGGAAGAGAGTCCCCCCAGCCTCACTCAGTCCACTCTTTCAGCAGTGAGTAGCCAACCCCGATGGCCACACCACCTGTGGGGTGGGGGTGGAGGCATCTGTGGTGATGACATGCTTTCGGTGCCACTTAGCTCCGATGGGAAAGGAAATTAATCGATGACATAATGAGACATTTTTATATGTAAACAGACACCAGTAAATGTAATTAAATACAGGGTTTTATTAAACACGGAGGCATTTACAGCTCTTTGGAATTTGCAGCAGGCTGCTTCAGGCGGTACCCCAGTCCCCCAGGGTGTTTGTTAAAGTACATCACTGAACTTGTTCAGGGAACAGTGCTTCCATGGAGGGTGTGGGTTTTACTTCTCTGTAGTAGAATAACATGCACTCTAAGGTCAGCTGTGTGAGCCAGACATTGGAGGGTCTGCTGTCCATTCTCCTGAATGTGGACTCAGCCCTTTAGGCCCTGGGAAGCCAGCAGAGGGTTGGAGGGAGAGCTGGCTCTGGACTGAGCTTTGGAACTTGCTTTGAAGCCCCACTGGGCAACGCTTCCAGAAACCGTGCTGCAGGTCTGGGTACGGGATAGGCCAGTCTGAGCTGGGGAGTCCGGAGCTCTTGGTTTTGGATCCATCTCCCCGAGGGGAGAATAGGGACAGAGTCCCTATCCGGGAGGTGCACATGCACACAAACGGGGCTCAGGCACACCAGAACACATGGTTAACTCCTCAAACGTCTGACCTGCTCAGGTGACTGGGATCGTGACCGCGACTGGGCCAGGAGGGGCAGAAGCAGAGATGTGGAGCCTCGAGGCCGCTGGCCATACAGCAGGAACCCCAGAAGCAGTAAGTTGTCTTGCCATGTACGTGGGCCAGAGGGGAAGATGGCAGGGCCTCGGGAGTCCTGTCGCTTGGTTTGGGCTGTGTTCTGGTTCCCCCAACCAGCCTGAGGCTCCTGTTTCCAAAGCTCCAGTCAGCATCATCACCTGCGCAGTTTTTGCCCTAGCTCCTCATCTCCACCTGCACTGTTGTATGCTCAGTGTTTTCTTAAGCCGGCACTTTATTTTAAAGTAGAAGTTTCTGTATAAAAGACTGTGCCACTAGGGGTGTTTGTGGGGCTCCTCAGAGCCTGCCACAGAATACAGAGGGGAGAAACAGACACACGCGTGCACGCACACACTCGCCCCCCAGGGGTCAGGGGGGGACCGGGCCCTGCTCCTTCCTCACGTCTTCTCTCTTCCCAGGGCTGCCTCGGCGGGATCTTTCCCTTCCTGTGATGGCAAGGACAACTTTTGAAATGGAAAGAGAGGACAACAGGGACTCAGTGGACTGTGAGTCCCGGTCTCAGGTATGCTGGGCTTCCTCTCTTTCCAGAAAGGCCGTCTTCCTTCCATGGCAGAGATGCCTTTCTTTCCCCAGATGATGTGTCCATCTGCCCTCTAGAGTCCCACTATGCGGGAGTCCCATGCACTCCCGTGAGGAGCCCGGGCCCGCCCGTGCGGGCAGCAAGAGGCCCAGGTCTCCGATTCATCCACACGGCCAGAGGGCTCTTGCTCCCCTCACCGTGCGTCCTTGGTAGGTTGGTCACATGAGCTGTTCTCTGCAGGCGAGGGCAGAGCAACTCTGGAGATCTTTCTGGTCCTCAGGAGGGAGCCAGGGAACTGCGGGTCTGGAGAGCAGACTGGCCAGGGAGAGCAAGGCTCTGGAGCTGGTGAGAGCTGGGTTTGAAGCCTGGCTCTGCCACCTGTTGGCTGTGTGGCCTTGGCTATTTACTCCACTGAGCTGAGCCTCAGTTTCTTCATCTGTACAATGAGTGTGGTGATTGCTCCCAGGGCTACTGCGAGGAGCCAGTGAGATCCACTCTCATGCATATATGAAGTGCCTACTATCACCTGGCATGTGGCAGGCACAGTATAAGTGTGAACATGTGTGGCAGGCATGGGTTCAGAGGCAGCATGCGCTGGGGAGACTGGTGATGGAGAAAAGGGCATGGGATTTGAGCTAGCCCTTAAGGACAGAGGAGAGGGGTCACTTAGACATGGCAGAGCGCTGAGGAGGACCCCAGCACCAACTGGACTTGAGGAGGAGGGGGAACCAGTGGGCTGAGCTGTCCTTTCCTTCACACCTCAGTGCCCACCCCACGTGAGGCTGGGGGCAAGGCCCCAGGGAGCGCAGCAGTGACCAGGATGGATAGGCCCCCGTCCCAAGAAACTTTTGACATTTGCACAAATAAACATTCATGTAAATATTGTGTATAACTGCTAATCATTCTCAGTGTGCTGAAAGAAATAGAAAGTTAACAAGAAATTCTCATAAGGGCCTTGATTTATATTGAAGGAAAATGTCTTTTGAAACAGTAACACTTGACACGTCACAGCTGGTGGAGGAGCAGGCCGGGCTAGGTCTGGGGAGAAAGTGACCCTAGGCATTATGGAGGGCTTAGGTCCAGGCCCTGGGGCACCAAGGAAGAGGCTGTAGGTGTGGGTGGGCCTGGCCACTGGTGTCCTGGTAGTTGGGCTTTGTCTTGTTTTGCTTTTTAAATGCCTTCCCTTGACAATGTGTAAAGAATTAGCAGCTGAGCTCCCATGTCTGCATAGCCCAAAAGTCTGGAGGCCACTGAGTCCTGCCGACTCAGTATGTAGGAACAGCAGCAGTAGATATAATGATATAAAAATTACATTCTGCGGTGTACGAAACAGAAAATCCTCTCATCATTTAGCATCATGTGCAAATCTCTTAATAGCTCATTTGAAGAGGTCATATTGTGAAATTAAATTATGCTATATTGGCATTGTTTTCAGGACAGCATCTTTTCCAGTTGAACTTGATGGCGGCTCATGTACATTTAGATGTCATTTGTTGATTTCAAACACAAAGTGAGCAACTGCTTTACCGCTACCCACTAGCATAGACAAACTTAGATTTTAAGTCAAAGCATCCTTTTTCTTTCATGTGAGAAAGAGTTGCATTTTTGAAGCTCTGCCTCATTTCCTTGCCCTGCTTAGTTTTTGTTGTTGTGTTTGCTTTTTAATGGCTGGACACTGGCAGTTGCATAAATAAGGCTTTCCACTTAAACCCCGATGCCTGTGTCTCTTCCTCTTTCTTAGTAGCAGATGCACCTTACTCTGCAAACCCTTTTTTCCTTACATTTTTCATGTAGCTATGGCATTCATGTCTCTTCCCAGCAATACAACTACATTAAATTTAATATCAAAACTTTTATATTTTCTTCACAAAACACCTTACATCGCAGAAAATCCTCATCCACAATATTGAAAGGCAGGTAGATGCTCTTCTTCTCATTTTAGAATGAAGAATCTGAGGCTCAGAAAGATTTCTGTTCTCTAAGGTTGCATTGCTCATAAATGGTGTGATCCTCCTTCGACCCAAGGTTTCTCTCCAGCTCCAAAGCCTGTGGGCTTCCCACAGTACCATCTCCCTGTCAAGTCTCTCTCCAGGCCTCAGTGCTGTCCTCTCTGGGACCAGGACTCACCAAAACCAGTGAGGTTCTAGTGCAGCTATCTGGCAACAAGCAAAGATCCTTTAGGATCCTGCATAGAAAGTTTTCCTGAGTAATGCGGGGAATTTTAAAATTCCTTTTTAGGTAAATGTCCATTAAAACAGAAAAAGCAGTTGTAAAATGAAGGCCCTCAGTGCTTACAGTTATTTCTGAGTTATTTGGAAATTCTACATACTGGAAGTGCCCTCAGTGTAGCTGTGCTGTGTGGTGGAAGAACAGGAAGGGAGATTTAAGTCACACGTCCTGACCAGACGTCTGCTTGAACGCATCTTCTTTCTGTTCCCTGAGTATACCATGTGGTTTGATATTTAGCCGGCTTGAGCTTTCCCACCAGTCCCTTCCTGTATGTATCATAATTTCACGTACCATTTAAGGCCCTAACTGAGGCCCTCTGTAAAACCTTCGCTGACTGTTCAGGCCCACCCTGAACTGTCCCTTTACCAAACTTTAGCACTTATTATCTATACCCCAATTTATTGTTTATTGTTCTCTAATTGTTTCATGAGTCTTTTCTCTCCAACCAAATTATAAGCTGCATGAGGGCAAGGAATATGTGTCATGCGTCTTTCGGATCTGCCTCAGAGTGTAGCAGCAAGGTAGGTACGACGTAGGCCCCTAGTAACACTTGACTTGGATCACTCAGAACCCCAAATACTGTGAGCACTTCTTATATAACTTCATATATGTAGCTCCCATGTCGCCAACATTATTCTTTTCTCTTTGGATGTCCATGAGGACAGACTCCATTGAGAGGTCTGTGTTTGCTGTTTTAGGATGCTGAATCATACCAAAATGTCATAGACCTCACTGAGGACAGGAAACCTCACAACACAATCCAAGACAACATGGAGAACTACAGGAAGCTGCTCTCACTAGGTAAGCAGCCGCTTTTCTCGGTCACTCCCGGTCCACTCACTGGAGCATTTTGTCACCTTACTCTTTTCAAGCTGCGGGACGTTAAGAGTCTGTGTTAAATATTTGGACTTGAAGGATAATAATAAGCCTTTGAAAGATTTCAAACAAGGGAGTAAATGACCAGATTTGTGTTTTTAAGCAATCCTTCTGGCTTTGGGTGAAGAATACATTGCACAGGGTGGGGGTGATATGTTTTCTAGAGCTGTGGCACTGGAAAATTTTAAACGTACATTTAGAATGGGATCCTTAGTTCTTGTGTGGACTCTCCTGGAAGACATCTAGCCCAAGTGGTGCTAGGCAGTTGGCTGTGCAGGTCTGTAAGGCCATGGGGCCTTGAGGAGCTCCGGTGTTTGGAGAGCAGGTGGAGAAAGAACAGTCAAGAGGTAAGAGGAAGACCACGGAGGCCAGTGAAAAAGAGGATATCAAGACTTAAGAGGTGTTTACGAGAAGGTGAAGACTAAAAGAGGATGCACAGAATTCGGGGACACGTGGGGTCTTTGTACAAATTTCTGGGTGGAGTCAGAAGAATTAATTAAAATGCAGATTAGATTGTGTTAAGGAATGGATAGTAGGGAAATGAGACAGCAAATGAAAGACATCCAAAGAATCGGATATGGGCTGCTTCATATTTAGTGGCTCAGAGAAAGACGGAGATCAGTTTATGGTGATGAGTCTTGGTCTTCAACTCAAATTTGAGCCGTCGTATTGTTCTTGTGACCAGGGGTGCAGCTTGCCGAAGATGACGGCCACTCCCACATGACACAGGGCCACTCATCAAGGTCCAAGAGAAGTGCCTACCCAAGCACCAGTAGAGGTAAGCACCAGGCAGATCCTACAGAGGAGCCATACAACCAATGAGATGCATATCGAAAAACCTTCTACACTTTCCATCCCTACACATCAGAGAAGGGTGCTCTCCTCCAAGTCCCACTGTCGTTTTGTACAAGTACAGGGACTAGGGAGTATTTACATTGGGGTTTCTTTCCAGGTCTGAAAACTATGCCTGAAGCCAAAAAGTCAACCCACCGGCGGGGGATTTGTGAAGATGAATCTTCCCATGGAGTGATAATGGAAAAGTTCGTCAAGGATGTGTCATGCAGTCCCAAATCAGGAAGAGCAAGGGAGCCAAGTGATCGGCTGCAGAGGTTCCCCAGAATGTCAGATGATAACTGGAAGGACATTTCATTAAACAAGAGGGAGTCAGTGATCCAGGAGAGGGGTGATGAAGGGAATGCGTTTAGGGGAGGCTTTAGGTTTAACTCAAACCTTGTTTCCAAAAAGAGAGTTACTGAAAGAAAGAGGCGCTATCATTTCGACACAGATGAGAAAGGCTGCGCCAGAAAGAAGCCCTTTGGATGTAGTAGTGAAATGAGGAAAGCTATGAGCATGAGCAGCCTGAGTTCTCCCTCCTTCACCAACGCACAGCCAGTTATCGATTTTGCGTCTATGCCGTATGTGTGTGATGAGTGTGGGAGGTCGTTCGGTGTCATCTCAGAGTTTGTCGAGCACCAGATCATGCATACTAGAGAGAACCTCTATGAGTATGGCGAGTCCTTTATTCACAGTGTGGCTGTCAGTGAGGGTCAGGCTGGAGGGAAACGCTTCGAGTGTAAGGAGTGTGGGGAGACCTTCAGTACGAGCGCCGCCCTGGCCGAGCACCGGCAGATGCACGCGAGAGAGTATCTCGCGGAATGTGAAGATCAGGAGGATCAGGAATACGAGGAGACCTTCATGCCTAGCCCGACCTACACCGAGCTTCAGAAAATATATGGCAAAGACAAATTCTATGCGTGCAGGGTGTGCAAGGAAACCTTCCTCCATAGTTCTGCCCTGATCGAGCACCAGAAAATACACTTTGGTGATGACAAAGATAATGAGCGCGATCGCGAACGGGAGCGCGATCGTGAACGGGAGCGCGAGCGCGCACTGGAGCGTGAGCGCGCACTGGAGCGTGAGCGCGCACGGGAACGCGCACGGGAACGCGAGCGGGAGCAAGCCTTTATGCCTAGCTCAACCTTTAACGAGCTTCAGAAAATGTATGGTAAAGAGAAACTCTATGAATGCAAGGTGTGTGGGGAGACCTTCCTTCATAGCTCATCCCTGAGAGAACATCAGAAAATCCACGCTAGAGGAAACCCATTTGAAAATAAGGGTAAAGTGTGTGAGGAAACCTTTATTCCTGGTCAGCCCCTTAAAAGGCGTCAGAAAACTTACTCTAAGGAGAAGCTCTGCGACCTTAATGATGGCCGGGATGCTTTTATGCAAAGCTCAGACTTCAGCGAGCGTCAGAAAATTCATTCTCGAAGGAATCTCTTTGAAGGCAGAGGGTATGAGAAATCTGTAATTCATAGTGTACCCTTCACTGAATCTCAGAAGAGTCATACTATAACAAGACCACCTGAAAATGAGGAGAAGGCATTCACCATCAGTTCTAACCCCAGTGAAAACCAGAAGTTTCCTACTAAAGAAGATGTCTCTGAGGGGAAACCATATGAGAGGTCCGTTATTCATAGCTTAGCCTCTGCTGAAGCTCAGAAAAGTCCCAGTGCAGTGGGGCCCATTAAACCCAAAGTGATTGCAGAGTCTACCATCCAGAGCTCAGATGTTATTAACCATCAGAAAGTCCATGCTGGAGGGAACACCTGTGAAGGAATGGAATACAAGAGGTCTGTTATTCATAGCTTAGCAGCTCCCAGACCTCTGAATATTCACAATGGAAATGAACTGCTTGAATGTACTGAGAAGGGAGAGTGCTCCATTTATATCTCAGACCTTAATGATAAGCAACAGAAGATTCCTGCCAGAGAGAAGCCTTACGAAGCGAGTAAGAATAACAACTACAAGGACTCTGTTATACAGAGTGTATCCCATGCCACGCCTCAGAAAAGGCTTACTGGAGAGGGATCTGGTGAAGTTAAGAAGGATGGTGAATTTTCTGTTCCCAGCTCAAATGTTCGTACATACCAGAAGGCTCGTGCTAAAAAGAAATACATTGAGCACAGAAGCAATGAAACCTCTGTAATTCATTCTCTGCCCTTTGGCAAACAGGAAACAGTTCGCCCTAGAGAGAAGCTCTATGAATGTCAGGAGTGTGGGGAGTCCTTTGCTTGTAGCTATGACCTCACTGAGCACCAGAAGATTCACGATAGAGAGAAGCCTTCTGTAAGTAGAAACTATGAGCTATCTGTCATTCGCAGTTTGGCCCCTGCTGACCCTCAGACAAGTTATGCCCAAGAGCAATACGCTAAGGAACAGGCACACATTAAATGTATGGAGTTCAGGCAATGCTTTGCTACTAGTAAAGACCTCAACACACATCATAAAACCTCTACCCAAGAGAAGTCCCATGGCGAGGAGACTGAAGGCAAGGACACCCATGGCAAGAAGACGCGTGACGAGGAGACTCAGGGCAAGGAGACTCATGGAGAAGAGACTCACGGCGAGAAGATTCATGGTGAAGAGACACATGGCAAGGACGTTCATGGTGAGGAGACCCAAGGCAAGGAGACCCGTGGTGAAGAGACCCAAGGCGAGGAGACCCGTGGTGAAGAGACCCAAGGCGAGGAGACCCGTGGTGAAGAGATCCAAGGCGAGGAGACCCGTGGTGAAGAGATCCAAGGCGAGGAGACCCGTGGTGAAGAGACCCAAGGCGAGGAGACCCGTGGTGAAGAGATCCAAGGCGAGGAGACCCGTGGTGAAGAGACCCAAGGCGAGGAGACTCGTGGTGAAGAGACCCAAGGCGAGGAGACTCGTGGTGAAGAGACCCAAGGCGAGGAGACCCGTGGTGAAGAGACCCAAGGCGAGGAGACCCGTGGTGAAGAGACCCAAGGCGAGGAGACCCGTGGTGAAGAGACCCAAGGTGAGGAGACCCGTGGTGAAGAGACCCAAGGCGAGGAGACCTGTAGTGAAGAGATCCATGGCCAGGAGATGGTTGAAGACTCTGTCATTCAGGTCTCAGAAGTGGCTGAACCTCAGATGGAAGACCCTGATGACACAATCTATGAATGTCAGGACTGTGGGCTGGGCTTTGTGGATCTCACAGACCTCACAGACCATCAGAAAGTCCACAGCAGGAAGTGCCTTGTTGATAGCCGTGAGTACACGCATTCTGTGACTCACACCCATTCCATCAGCGAGTATCACAGAGATTACACTGGAGAGCAGCTGTTTGAATGCCCAAAGTGTGGGGAATCTTTTATTCATAGCTCATTCCTTTTTGAGCATCAGAGAATCCATGAACAAGACCAGTTGTATTCCTTGAAGGGGTGTGATGATGGTTTTATTGCCCTCTTGCCGATGAAGCCACGGAGGAATCGTGCTGCAGAAAGGAACCCTGCCCTTGCTGGGTCAGCCATTCGATGCCTTCTGTGTGGGCTGGGCTTCATTCACAGCTCTGCCCTTAATGAGCATATGCGACTTCATAGGGAAGATGATTTACTGGAGCAGAGCCAGATGGCTGAGATGGCTGAGGAAGCTGTCATTCCAGGCTTAGCCCTCACTGAGTTTCAGAGGAGTGAAACTGAAGAGAGACTCTTTGAATGTGCCATATGTGGAGAGTCCTTCTTTGATGCAGCTGAACTTGCGGATCATGTGAGTGTTCATAAGAATGAGCCTTATGAGTATGGGTCTGCCTACACTCATACCTCATTTCTTACTGAGCCCCTCCAAGGAGCTATACCATTCTATGAATGCAAGGACTGTGGCAAATCCTTTATTCATAGCACAGTCCTCACTAAGCATAAGGAGCTTCATCTTGAAGAAGAAGAAGAAGAAGAAGAAGAAGAAGAAGGAGGAGGAGCAGCAGCCCAAGAAGTTGAGGTCAATGTCCTTGTTCCACGAGAAGTTCTGCGGATTCAGGGGTCAAATGTAGAGGCTGCTGAGCCAGAGGTGGAGGCTGCCGAGCCAGAGGTGGAGGCTGCCCAGCCAGAGGTGGAGGCTGCCGAGCCGAATGGCGAGGCCGAAGGGCCAGATGGAGAGGCTGCAGAGCCGAATGGAGAGGCTGAACAGCCGAGCGGAGAGGCTGACCAACCCAGCGGGGACGCTGACGAACCAGACGGCGCAGGGATCGAAGACCCAGAAGAAAGAGCTGAAGAGCCAGAGGGAGATGCTGACGAGCCTGACGGTGCAGGGATCGAAGACCCAGAAGAAGAAGGTGAAGAGCAAGAGATCGAGGTGGAAGAACCGTGCTATGACTGCCACGAATGCACAGGAGCCTTCACTTCCTGTGCAGCATTCGGTGAGCACCTGAAAACTCATGCTAGCCTGGTCATCTTTGAGCCTGCCGGTGCCTTTGGGGGGTGCTCCGGCTACATCGAAGGTGCCAGCACCAGCACAGGCGGTGCTGGTCGGGCTGACGAGAAGTACTTCAGATGCGACGTCTGCGGGCAGCTCTTCAGTGACCGCCTGTCCCTCGCCAGACACCAGAACACCCACACCGGCTGAGAGCAAAGGTTGGGAGTAAAGGTTGGGAGACCTTCCCCTAGGACTTGACTCCTAACCAAACTACGGAAAATTCAGACCAACCATTGACAGTGTCAGTAGCAAACTTACCTTAATGTATAACACCTGACTTAACATCAGACCGCTCAGCCCAAGAAGCGGCTGCGTGTGAACACTCTCAGTATCCGTCTCTGCATCACACACCAGTGCTGCGTGCGGACCTTTCACACAGATAAGTGAGGGGAACCCCATAAGTGTTCGAGAATACAGAGATTGCCCCGATCAACTGTAAATGACACGCCTGAAAACTATATTTCCTGAGGTGTATATAAAATAGCAAATCATAGCAAAACAGTGATCACATATTTGGATTTAATATGATACGTAGTTACAGTTTGCTGTGCAGAGGCACCTTACTTGGTATCTTTGATTTTTCCTTTTTTGGAGGAGGGAGAGAGCAACAAATTAGAATATATTTGTAAGTGTCTTAGATCCTGAGAAAGATTGATTGTGCATTATTTGAACCCTGTCAGTATCTTTTTGAGTATTTTGTTCCTTACTCTTAAATAGTCTTGTGAAGGTGTAGGCATGAAAGATAACATGTCTTTTACTCTTTGCTGTTTGAAAAGAGACGTTCTTTCAGCTTCTTCCTGCAGCCATTTTGTCTGCACCAACACTCTGGAACCTAATGTCGTGTGAGCTTTTTACAATACGCAGATTGGCCTTTTGTGACTCACATTGATCCGTTGCCACATTGTATGTACCTTGCAGTGGTTCTCATTTAAAAATATTACAAGTTTCGTTGTTTTTTTTTTTTTTTTATAAACCAACTCAACATGTGTTCGATAGTGAATTCATAAAACCTGAAGCTTTTCCCTGTAAATCTTAACATCTTTGCCTTTAAAGAATGGGTTGCAACCATCACTAGATCACTAGTGCCTGATGAAGGTTGAGAACCATGGGAGAGGCTCTCTTGCTGTAAATAAGGATGCAGGCTAACAACCTTTCATCGCTTCCTTTGTGCGCTTCCCTGCCTTAAGTGACGAGTAGCAGTGTGGCTTGGGTCCCCTGTGCGTTAGTGTGTGCTGCCACAAGTCAGTTTGCAACCTGGGTGCCCAGGAGCTAATATCCTTAGATCTTTCTATGGCTAATTTTCCTCTTCTTTACCTGTCGTACTCTCTAACCCTACGTTTTTCCTTTAAAATAAAAAGAAAGCTTTCTTTACAGTCCAACCCAAGCTTGACATGGACTCAGGGTCCCCAGCAGCCTTAATTTGTTTTGGTGCCATGTGTTCCTTCTCTTTTAGCCCTCAGTCTTTCTGAGCTGTCCATTAGAGTCTCGTATTTGTCTGGTCTTCTCAGTTTTCCTCTTAATCACAAGTTGATCTCACAGCTTGAGGTACCCCCCCGCGCACTCCCCCCAACCCCTCTCCCCCGCCGTGTCCTATAATGTGGATCACCTGTGCTCCTTTACTTCCCTTCCCCTCGCATAATGGCTATATTAATAAATTTTTTTGGCCATGAGTTGGCTGGAAAAAAAAATTTAAAATTTAAAAAAACTTAAAAAAAAAATAAAAGAAGAGATCTGTACATTAGGTGAGCAAAATAAGTGCAGATCATTAAATACCCACTGGGGGAAATGTGTCTGAATCTTACTCTCCTAGATTGGGATTAGGGCTCGTGGGAGTTTGTCAAAGCTGCAGGTAATACCAAAGTGTAGGGACATTGTAGAGTTAGAGCAAGAAGCAGAAATGAATAAACCAAAGAAGGGGGAGTCCTAATACATCACCAGACCTAGGAGGGAGAGGAGACAGACAGAAGAAAACACCGGAGGGAGGATTGGAAAGCCAGGTTGGTGAGAATGAATTGAGTGGGTGTCCTGCCCAGTTTGAAGGAAGGCGCTTTCTTGATGGCATGGTGTAGGTGAGGGCCAGCTGCATAGGGAAACCTGAGGTTGGAATGGACGTCCTGGCATGCCGAGGGGCAGTGAGGCCCTGCATGGGAAGAGGAGTCTTGAGACACGGGACTCAGTGTTGATGTTGGGGTCAACTTGATAGGCTCGTTACTGTTAGCAGTGTTAATCAGTAGGCTCTTTTCAGAAGGCAGTTGTCAGACGTCAGGTGTCTGTTCCAACCTTAAGTTTGTGAAAAGTTAGTAACAACTTAAATGGTAAACAATAGGGCAATGATTAAGTAAATATCTGTGGACTCTTATGCAGCTGTTTGAAAATGATAATCACGAGTTGTGTAGTAACATGGAGATGTATTTGCAGACTATTAAGTGGAGAGGGCAGGACACAAAATTATATTTATACTACAATTATAACTGTTAAAAAATATATGCTTATAGTGAAAAGCTGTCGTGGTGGTGGTGGTGTTGTTGTAGGCTTATAGTTGAGCATTATTTTCTTAAATTCCTTGATTGTTCTTTATGGTAGTGTTACTAAAATGTTTATGATCACATTTCCATTGTGAACATAATTTGAACCCATTATCAAACACTTGGAAAATACAGAAAAGTGGAGGAAAAAAATTTACATCCCCCTCATCCAAAGACAGATATACTCTTCAGTACCTTGTTTACTTTTGTTTCTGTGCACAGGTTTATGATTATAACTGTGTCAAAATGTGTATTCAAAATAGCTGTTATGTTACCTTTGTGGAATTATGGTTAAATACTTTCATCTTAATTTTTTCAGATGTTCCTTAAAGTAGTGTCCTGATAACAAAGTGTATTATGTATGTCTCCTTTACAAACATAATACATTCCCTCAAAAGAAAAATTGGGAAATAACAGTAAATTAGAAAGAAAAAATCCTCCCATACTCCCAGCACCCAACAACTAACTGTTAACATCTTGATCTATTTCCTCCATTTTGTTTCAGTGCACAAGGTTGTGATTATAACAGTGTTTTAAATATGTAATCATAAAGTCTAATATGAAAGAAATGTGGAAAATAACTAAAATAGTATTGTCGTTGTGGGATTATGGTTAAATATTTTGTCTTAAATTCATTGAATAATCTTTGGTGTTTTGGTAATAAATTTTATGTATGAATTTTTCCATTACAAATATAATACATACTCATAGAAAACTTTGGAAATTCAGTAAAGTAGAAGAAGAAAATTCACCCATATTCCCAACACCCAGCAACAACTGCTGTTGGCAACATCTTGATCTGTACACCGGTCTGTGATTACTGGGGTGTTAATGATGAGTATGCATAAGTGTCAAAGATGGGAAGAAGGATGGAAAACAATTAAGAAATGGTTGTGTGGTCGTTGTGGGATAATGGTTATTTTGTCTCGATTTCCTTGAGTGATCTTCATCATTATAGTGTTTTGGTAGTCCACCACCTTATTACATATATTTCCATTACATATGAAGATATGAAATATGTGTTTATTATAGTAACTCTGAAGTACAGAAATGTAGACGAGACTCACCCATATTTTCACCATCCAAAGACTATGGTTAACATCTTGATGTATTTTCTTCATCTTGTTTCTGTGCACAGGTTTTTGGTTTGTTAATATGGTTGTGGTCGTTCTATCTGTAATAGTGTCAACAATAAAAATAAAGTTAAAAATAAAATATTTCTCAGTCTCTTGTTTGTAAAGTGTTTGGGGTTGTCAAATAGGTTGTTGTTGTTTTTTTTTTTTGTTGTTGTTGTTATTGTTGTTTTTTCTGTTAAAGTTATAAATCCAGAAGTTTAGTGCCTCTTTAGGCCTAAAAAAGTTTGGCTTGCAAATCTTATTCTATTTTAAAGTATTACATATATCATCCAGTTACTTCTAAGAGGTCTTTTAATACTACTTGATTCCACCTTTTCAACTATGCTTACAAAACTAAAACATATATTCCAATAATTTTTTAAACTTAATGATAATCACAAGTATATTTTAGTTACCTGAATGGGCATTTTTAATTGGAATTAAGAGATTTTCTCAAACAGAAAAAAATACTAATTAACCTTTAACATAAAAGTGTTAATATTAAGGTTTAGAATCTCTTAAAGGTATCTATTCCTAACTCTTGCCTGAGGTTAAAAAGTGATTATCCTCAGGTCGTTTCCATACTTTTTGTCTCCCAAGTTAATTAGCCATATATCAACTTGACTTTACCACCAGAAACATTTTATCATCCTAGATAGACTGTAATCTTTAAACATGCTTGTGTTTTCATAGTGACCGGAGATTTTCGGCCAAGTCCCTAACTCGGCCATAGATACCCAACTTGTGGCTTCTGTGCCCTAACTCCATGACTCAAAGGAGTTGGTCATGTACTCCACTTCCTTCTGATTCTCTGATTGGATTTTGCTCTTACGATATAAAAGTGTGTTTTAATTTGGAGGTTTCATTTTCATCTAATTCTGGGATTAGAAAGAGTCCTGCATTCTTTCATGTTCTTAAAAATTTTGTCTTGTGCCATCTATTTTGGTCACAGCTTTGATGATAATTCTGTATGATAAGGGTTGTCAGCATAGGTCAGGGTAAGAGAGTCAGTACTTTTAAAGATTGATTTCCTTAAAAGTATATGGTAGTAGAGGAAGGGAATGAAGTGGGTGTCATTTGGGGTTACCTGACCAGCTGTTACGCTCTTGGGCAATTACTTCCTGTACCCACACCCAGGTAAAAGGGTATTGAACTCCCTTGCTGCCATGTTTATTCCATCAGATTTAACCCCTCCCTGGCATCAGCTGATAGGTGCTCATGGGTTCCTAACGTCCAGTCAGACTCAAAAGAGACTGATAGCTACCTGAGTGGTCATATAAGTTGGGGCTGGGTATACTCATGAATAAACAGACCTGGAAGGAGATAAGGCCACATGGCCAGAGAGAATCCTGGTTCCTGGTGCCTCACCTACCCCACCCAGTACCCTATAGAGTCCGGCTGAACTGCCTGCCCTTGGGTTCCTTTTACATAAATAATTGATTTGTTGACAAAGAAACCTCCCAAGGACTACTGGATATTAATATAAAGTACTAATTCTTGGGGACTGAAATATTGCAAGGTAAAGCACAGTTAAGACGTAACATGCTGTCTGCAGGCAAGCCAGCTCTTACGGAGTTTAAGCTGCTTCTCCGATAGAAAGGCATGAGTGAGAAGGAAGCCAGAAGTGGTACCATGTGACCCTGCCAGCCAGACATCTGGTGGAAGGTTGATCATACCAAGCACTTTTCACCATAGAGAGAGAACAGTGTAGCTTTAATGGCATAGAGATTCTTTCTGGACTTAGATTTTTGTTTTCTTGCCTACCAGCCTCTTATTAATATCTATGGACTTACTGCATGCCTCATATATCACTTACATACCATATGTAGCAGTTATCTAGTCACAATAATGCTAGATAATGAGCTACCACAAAACCTCAGTGGCATACAGTAAGTGTTTATTATTCCCATATCCAGGATCAGCTCAGGGCTGGCTAAGTGGCTCTGCTTATCTTGGCTGGGGGTGGCTGGCTGTGTCAGCTGGCTGGGGCTAGTTATAGCTGGGGTGGGAGACTCTTATCCACATGTGTCTCGTCCTCTGAAGACAAATGGGCCACCTCCTCTTGGTGAAGGCAGAAGTGCAGGAGAACAAGTAGAAAAGCAAGGTCTCTTGAGTCCTAGACTTGTAACCAGTACTCTGTCACTCACTGTAGTCTACTGGCCAGAGCAAGTCACCAGGGAAGAGGAAAATAGACTCCACATTTAGGAAAAGAATTGTAAGGCCACTTGACAAAGGGCATGGATACAGGGAGGAGTGAAGAACTGGGGGCATCAGAATAGTCGGTTTACCATATTATACCTCATCACCTTGCTGATAGCCAAGGAACTCTCTTGGCACCGACATGTATCCCTGACACCTCTATAATCCCTATAAACAGTGGTGTGGCCCTAGGAAGACTCAACTCTGGTCTTCAATGAAGGATGCCACTTTCTGAGGTTGGAGAGCTATTCTACCAGCTGTGAAATATGCCCCTAAACTGATGTGTCTGATGTTGGAAAACAAATGTCCAGAAACAAATTGAAAACAGATATACTTTTCCCTATATCAATTGCCTACTGAAAATTCTTGCTTTCTGTTCCTGCCACCTGGGGTCCTATTGATTTAGAAGTTTTACTACCCAAGGGAATTTTTCCACCACACACACCAGACCCAACAGTTCCATAGAACTAGAAGCTGAGACTATTCCCAAGCCTTCTGGGTGCCTCTTACCATTGGACAAACAGACAAGAGAGGATTATGGTGATAGCTGAGGTTGGCCCTAAGGATCAAGTAGAAATAGGGCTGTTGCTTGTTTTGGTCATCTCTTGCCACATAAGGAACAAACCCCAAACTTAGTGACTCAAACACCAACAATCATTTGCTTATAGTTCTACAATATGGGCTGGGCTCAGCTGGAATGTTCTGCTGATCTTGCCTACGGCTGCAAATGCAGAACAGCTTCACTTCCATGCTATGATGGCTGGAGGTCTCTCTAGCAGGATCTCAGGACCTCTATACATAGTGGCTCAGGGATCCAAGAGGGAAAAAGGGGAAACTACCAGAACTCTGAAGGCACAGGGCCACTACTGGCACTACATCACTACCACCATATTCTACTATTCAAAGCAAGTGATAGTATAGCCCAGATTCAAGATGAGGAGAAATAGACTCCACCTCTTGATGAGAGGAGCAGCAAAGAACTTACGGCCATCTTTATTTTACTGAATTGCTAAATAATGTTAGCAAGGAAAGTATGGAAAAAATCTGGGGAGACTGCCCTCTGGCAAAATAGTTCAAGAAGGTCTCCCAGGAGAGTTCCATGGTTTCTTCCAGAAGCCAAAGGGTTTATTGTGTGCTGCTTGATTTTTGTGAGCTATCCCTCCTCCATTTTTTGTGGATCACTGTCTGTGACCCTCCCTTGTCCCAGCCAAGGAAAAAGCATATTGTTTGGGGTAGACCAGTCAGACTTCCTCACCCAAGACTTTGAACCTTCAGAAGAGCAACACATGGATGGAAGGTGTTGAAAGCTGAGTCATTCTTAGAACCACACCTTAAAGAGACAGACCATTAATCCCCCCTGATGAGATGAACGGATCTTCTCTGACTGCAGTTTTTCTTAAAGGACCAGTTGTTCAACTCTTTACTCAATTGTTTTGAGCTACACAGTATTACTCTAGTAAAATCCATATTCCCTCTAAAGTAACCTGAATGAATTTCTGTTGCATACAAGCAGAGAATCCTAGCATACAGATGTGGTTTATATTCCCTGATGGAGATACTAATGACCATCACAAGCTCAAAAAAACTGCTTTCCAAGGAAGTCTTTTCCATCACTAGAAAGTTACTGTTTAATCATAACATGCTATAAATAGGCTTTTACCTTCTCAAGATTCTGATTGAAATTCTTATTCTTTTTCCCTTCATCCCATCAGGAGGAAGTGCTTATACTGACCATTTGCCTGTCATCCTGCATAAGTCTTTAGAGAACACTGGGAGAGAAGCCAACTTTCATTTGGTTTATATCCACATTTTTCCTTTTACTCAAGAATCATGCATTTCTCAGGAACCATTCTCATTTCCATGCAATGTCTTCTTAAAATTTCTCTGAACTCTTCTCTTAAGCCACCTTCATGTACTCACTAATTGATGGAATATTTGTTAGTGTCAGGTACTGTTTTGGGCATTTGGGATTCTGGGGGACAAATCAGACATTGTCCCTGCCCTCATGGAGCCAAGAGTATTTGTACATTTGGGCAGCTAGACCAAAATACCTTAGACTGGGTAATTCATAAACAGCAGATATTTATTGGTCACGGTTCTGGAGGCTGGGAAGTCCAAGATCAAGGTGCCAGCTGATTTCGAGTCTGGTGAGGGGTTGTTTTGTGTTTCAAAGGCGGTGCCTTCTTACTGTCTCTTCACGTGGCAGAATAGGCTCGCTCTCGCGCACCTCTTATATGGGTACCAATCACATTCATCAGGTTTCAGCTTTTATGACATAATCACCTCCTAAAGGTGCCATCTCTTAATACTAATACCTTGTGGTTTGAGCATCAGCATGTGAATTTTGGGAGGACACAAACAAACCATAGCAGTATGTATGGAGAGGAAGGCAGTGGCAAAAACAACTAATTCTTCCCCAATATACATCTCCCATTCTTCCTAAATGCTGCTTGGGTGCGTGGATATTCAAAATAAGTAAATATTTTCTCAGCCTCCCTTGCAGCTATGTGTGGCCATGTGACGAATGTCTAGGCCACAGGATGAGCACAGTAGAGATGCACCATTTTCAGGCCACACTCAGCCCTCTACTCTCGTCCTCCTCCCCCACAGCCTGGACTGTAGTGTGATGGTGGGGCCCGGAGGAGGCGTCCTGGATCGCAAGGTGGAAGCCATGTGTTCAGGATGTCAGAATAACAAGATGAGAGTTATGCCTGATGATGCTGACTGCCTACCTAGGCTTTCACATGAGAAATAAACATGCATATTTCTGCAGCTAGCTACTGGGGGCTCTCCTTTGCAGGAATGAAATGAATGTCTTAATAAACTGAAGCCTTAAAGCAGGCGTCCTCAAACTACGGCCCGTGGGCCACATGCAGACTGCCAAGGGCATTTATCCGGCCCGCCGA